ATTCCAAAGATAAAGGGGAAATGGAAGCAGAGAGAGCCCCTCAGCACGGATGCAAGCTATTCTCTGGATGCAAACAGATCTCAGCCTTCCAGAGACACCCACTGGGTGGGGGAAGGATGGTCACTTGATTCCTGGCTTGGCCCAGGGTGGCTAAAAGTGGAAAGATTTCACCGAGTCCAGCCTTTCACGGGTTAAGGCTTCCAAGTATTCCAGAATCACCTGACTATTTAATCATTATGCAAGTCCCCTCGGACTTTTTCCTCCATGACTTACACGGGCTTAGGAAAGGGGAAAAACAAACAAGCCACTGGGAGCCCTTCCCTCTTAAGGCACAGCTTAGGCCAGAGCTGTCCTTAAGTTAAAAGAAACTAGTGACAGCAAAGCGTTCCCAGGCAGAGGGAGAGGACAGTCATGTGGGACAAAGGTCACCTCTAATCCAGGTTGAGCCGGTGCTAGGCTCTGAAGGACACAAGTCTCTCTTTACCACCAGCTAAGAACCACAGACCCAAAGGGGAGGAGGCAGCAGGCTCCTTCCGTGCAGTCGTTCCAGATCAACAGGCATACAATGTTTCCTGGGAAAAGCAGCAAGCCACCAAGAACGCTGGGGAAAGCCTCCTGCCCTATGGAGGTGCTAGCTCACTTGTTTTTGCCTCTTCAAATAGCTGAATCTCATAAGATCACAAAATGTTGGAGTGGTAGGGAGCTTAAAGACCATCTTCTAACCCCCTCATTTTCCTATAGAGGAAACTGAGGGCCAGGGGCATTCAAAGACAAAGAGCCCGACCAAGATGGCTAAGATCAGATACTCACTGGCTGTGTGACCCTGGGCAAGTCACTTATCCCTATTTGCCTCAGTTTCTCATCTATAAAGTGAGCTGTTAAGGAAATGACAAAACCACTCCAGTATCTTTGTCAAAAAAAACCCCAAATGGGGTCCAGAAGAGTGGGACAGGACTGAAATGACTCAACAACAAACATCTGACACAAGCCAAGTGTTCTTTCTACCACACCAACACCTCTTCTATCTACGTTCATTTACTAATTCCCCTTCTTCCCTTCCCTCCCCTAGGCCAAGCCCGTCATTTCACACATGAGGAAAACAAAGTCCACAGAAGTTGGCAGGTTTGCCAAAGGTCTCCCAGGCAACCCCAGTCCATGCACATGAACCCTGCAATTCCTTAATCTGATCCTAATCTCTTATTAATCAACCTTACCACCCCAAAACCTGTTCCTCATCTTCGCTGTGACCTCCAGTCCTCCTTGACTGCACTCTTCTCCTTCCTCCATCTTGAGTGAACTAATTCGGGGCATCTCGGGTCCTATGGAGACTTTGCCCAACCATGCCTCAGTGTTGGGTAACCCCAACTTTCATGCTTTCACCCCTATCCAGGTACCCCTGGAGAATCTAGGGAACCCAAAGAATCCCAAGTGGGCCCTTGCTACAGCAAGGCATACTTGACTGGCTCACCCACAGAGGCTCTTCTAAACTGTCCACCCCTCCTCGAACCTCCCATGGCTCAATCTCTCTCCTGACCTTGTTGGCTGAGAACCTTCCCTTCCTTTTCGTCCTGTTCCCACCTCCTCCATCCATGAAGAAGAGGTGGCTCTTCCCCTCCACCACAAGACAAACCCTTCTGTGCCTACAGTCCTTCATTCTCGCTTCCTGCCTGCAGACCACGATTCACCTGGAATCCATCTGTCCACAGCGACGAAGCTTCCCGTCACTGACAAAATGAATTTCCTCTTCCCCCTCCTCATCCTTGACCTAGCAGTAGCCTTTCACGCCGTCAATCCCCTACTTCTCCTGGTTCTCTCTACCCTGCCAGACTTTTCCTTTTCCTTGGTGGATCTTTATGGAAGTCACATACTCTAACTGTGGGTGTTCCCCAAGGCTCCATTCAGGGCCCTCTTCTCTTCTCCTTATACACTATTTCATGTGGTGATTTCATTCCCATGGATTTAATTATCACCCCAATGCACATGATTCTCAGATCTATGGTCCATCCCTAACTTCTCACGATGTCCAGTAATCAAATAGCCAGCTGCCTATCGGATATGTCAGGGTAGATAAGTGGCGCAGTGGATACAGTGCAGGTTCTGGAGTCAGGAAGACTTGACTTCAAATCCCACCTCAGACACTTATTAGCTGGATTATTACCCTGAGGAAGTCAGTCCCAGCTAAATCCCACCTTCTCCAAGAAGTTTTTTCCCAGGAGCCCTTAATGTTCCACCCTGCCCAGAGATTATCTTCAATTTCTCCAGCATACTATACCTCTTCTTTTGCTGTGAGCTGGCCCTTGGAAAGCAGCTGCTGGGTTTCTGGTGGTGTATTTACATTTTTTGGTATTCCAAACACTTAGCACACTATAGGGGCTTAATAAATGCTTCTTGCCCCTGCCTTGAGCTCTCTGCCTCCACATTTCAGCCAGCCAGCTGTCTTAATGTTTGCTGAATGAAGCACTAGGTTCCCCAGAAAACCCAGAATGAACTATCCATTAGAGCTGGGGTGCATGTGAGTTAGGGTTAGAGTTTCCTGGTTCAGGGGCTGGCTCCATCAGTCAACAAGCATTCATTAAACGCTTACTGTGTGTCAGGTGCTGGGGCATGTTTGGGATCGTTGCCTGCTCCTGGGAAGCTATTTGTTGTGACTTTTGGGATTGCTTAGGATAAAGGTATGGCAGCCTTAGAATCAGAAGAGTGCCTCATCTTCTAGAAGAGGAGATTGGGACCCAAGAAGGCTGAGCGACTTCCTCAAAGCCCTCAGGCACAAGTGGCAGATGGAGGCTGTCCCCTGACTCTACCAGCCTCCCTGGCTTTGCCTTAAAATAAGGAGGTGGAGCAGTGGCTAGAAGGCCAGTTCTGGAGTCTGAAAGACCGTTCAAATCCGGCCTCTGACACTTCCTAGCTGTGTGACCCTGGGCAAGTCACTTCACCCGGCCTGCCTCAGTTTCCTCCTCTGTAAAATGGGGATCACATTGACACCTCCCTCGAAGGCTGGCTGGGAGGATCATGAAATCATTGTATGGCGCTTAGCACAGTGCCAGGCATACAGTAGGTGCTATACCAACATTAGTAATCCTGCTTAGCTATGAGGAAGACGTCTGAGCTCCCGTCTGCCTGGCCCAGCAGGTTCCTACGGACGGGCTCCTGGGTCCCAGCATTCATTCAGTGCCCTGGGTCAGTGCTGGCCCTCAGGCCCCTTGCGCCTCGAGACGCTCCAGACCAGCCCGGGGTGGGGGGGTGGGGGAGTGGAGCCGTCTCTCTCCCCCCCAGCAGGGAGCAATGACCTCGGGTGGGCTCGGGACCCAACCCCTTGCCTTCTCCAGCGTTCCCGAGGAATGGGGGGTGGGGGGATACTGCGTGAGCTCCCCCAAAGTCACCGAAGAGCTAGGAAGGGGGCGGGGTCTTCCGACAGCAAACCCATTGCTCGGACGGCCCAAGGGCACCGGCCTATTTACAGGTGGGGAAACTGAGGGTGGGTGAGCGCCAGGCTCGAGGGGAAGGTCCGGCTACGGGCTGCACAACCCTCTCCCGCCCCGCATCCCCCGGGATACTCCCACCCCGGCTTACCGAGGCATGGCGGAGGAGGGGCTGCTCCCCACTCGGGGGGCGGGAGGAAAGGGGTGGGGAGAGGGCGGGGAGGAAGGAGGAAGGGACGAGACCGCCCCTTCCGGCTTCGCTGCCTACAATGGTTGCCATGGTGCCCGCGCCCCCGCCCTGGGGACTCCCCGAAGGCACCGCTCTCCCTCCCAAACCTTTCCAGGCTCCCCAGTGCCCAGGGACAAACCCAGATCTCCACCCTTCGGCTCCAGTCCATCCCCCACCAAGGTCTAGCCCAGCCCCCAGGCATCTCCCGAGGGCTCCTCGTTCTTAGAGAGCCAGGGCGGAGGGTCCGAAGAAATCCAATCCAATGCAACGCAATCAGCACAAATTAAGCATCGGCTGGGTGCGAGGCACTGCGCTAAGAGCTGAGGACCCAGTGAACAAAGGCTGCCCTCAAGGAGCTTACAATCTAAAGGGGGTTAGATAGCGCGCGACCACACACGGGAGCAGCTGGAGAGTCCAAAGATGGCTGGGGTCTGCTCTGGTGGCCGAATAACTCCCGGAGGGCGATGGATCATAGCCGGTTGTGGCAAGAACTGCCTGCACCCCGCAAACCAAACCGCTCTCCCTCCTCGGATATCTCCCCCCCCCCGCCCCCGCCCCAGCAGGTCGCTCAGACTAAGCCCCTCGAGTCATCCCTCTCTACATACATTCAGCTATCCCTCCCCCACTTAAGCCAGTCTTGTTCGGGTGTGCTGACCACCAGGATAACACAGAACCTCTTCTGGCTAGTGCTGGGGGATCCCCGCGGACAGCCCCCTCCCTGACACCGCCTCAAGCGCTTTCAGCCCAAGTAGACCAGGGTCGCCCCAACAGTCTCTGCCTTCACTGCATCTCTACCCCGCACGCCCCATATCCCTGCCTTCTGCCAAAGTCCTATGGGCTCAGCTGGTGCAAGCTTCTCCCAGGCTCCCCCGCCAAAGGTAGGGAAAGACACGACTCCGCTTTGTTTCCCAGTGTGAGGGCATCCCTCGGGGGCCGGTGGTTCTTTTATCTAGTGCCACCAGTCCAGCAGCCTCCCGAGCCCCCAGACTTTGCTACTAGCTTGGTACTGCAAGCTGGTGCCTCCTTCCTTCCCCCTCGGATGTGTCTGCCCCACGAGAACCCAAGTTCCCACAGAGCATTTGGGGCCCATCTCTTTGGCTTACACTGCACCCCCAGCTCCTGGCAGTGTTTGGGCCCCTAGCAAAGTGCTGTTTTTTTTCTAGGGCAGGCCCCCCATCACATCAAGCTGGCCTCCCCCACCCACCCCCTCAGAGATGCTTTATCAGCAACAGGCCCTGACATTCTTTGCAAGTCTGACATCTTAGGCATTTAATAAAGGGGGTTGAGTCCCTGAGAAGACACTTGGTCTAAAGCACTGTGCTTGTGGCAAACAGCAAGGCCTCCGAAACCCAAAGAATTAAATCATCTTTTATTATCAAAATCAGACAACAGCCCCGACAGCAGCATAAGCCAGGGCTGGTCTTAACAAGATATCCCATTAATAGATGATTTATACACACACACACACACACACACACACTCAACAAAAATAAAAAACTTTAAAAAAAATGCTTGTGTAATAAAAAAATAAAGTACAGCAAAACGTTTCATATTACAAAAAATGTAAAACTGATTTTATAGTCCATAAAAATTAAACCTTGTTTCATATAATCAGCATTGCTTTGACAAAGTCCCAACTGTGAGACAAGCTTATAATAAAGGAATTTTTCCCAAGAGAAAAAAAAAATCTACCACCCTCTTCCCGATCCTCAAATTCCTAACTCTAACCCCGAAAATGACAGACAAGCATTTGATCAGTGAAATTTCCAGCCAAGGCTTGGCTCCCAGAATGCTAAGGCACGATAATATTTGTTACTTTAAAGAGAAAGATCAGTGTGCATTCTAGGGCTCCCCAAATATTTGGCCACTGATGGATTCTGTCATCTCAATGGGAAAGGGGACTAGGGGGGCAAAAAAAAGGAGAAAATATTTTTTCTCCTTTACAAACTTGTGGCGGATATTTTAAAATGCTCAGTAGCAAACATCTCAAATTTGGAATCTCAGTTAAAAGAACAACCCCCCCCCAAACAGGAACCCGTCGTCTTCTCCCACGACAGAACTTTGTGAATGACTCCTGCAAAGGTAACATGATCCTGCAGACCTTTCAATGAGCAGGGGGCTCCTCCCTCTTTACCTTCCAGGACCCGAACCACCAGGGAGCTAAAAAATCCTCCAGAGTTCCGGGTCCATTGCATCCCCCCCCCCCATGCAATTTTCCTTTCATAGACTCCTCCATGGCTTAAAAGAAAAGTTTTGGTGGTGCAAAACAATGTTTTCCTTTCCGGTCACAGTGAATTAAAAGCATCTTAATAAAACGACAAGCTATCTTCTGATGACCCAAAGCTAACCAAGCAGACCACCTGCACAGGGCCAGATGCCAAACGCAAATTAACTTGTTGGCTGAGCAGAAAAAATGGTGCGTTAATTTTCTGTTAACCCTAATCTTGCCTTGGCACCTGCCTTGGCAGAAGACTCTGACTTCTACAAATCCCCCACCCCCAGCCCCCAACAAAGAGCTTGTCCTAGCCAAGACAAACAGAAGCCTCCAGTCCTGCTCAGCTCCAACCACTTCAAAGTGCTTTCCAATCAATCGGTTTCTTGCCAGACTTCTTTAACAACTCGTTAGTCTTGGAGAAATGCCTGCATCCAAAGAACCCTCTCTGGACTGAGAACGGAGAGGGGTGGGCAGTCTGCAGAACGTGGTGGCGCTTCTGTAGGAGATGAATCGGAGGTGAGACTCTGCCTCATGTTTTGGAACCTGGGACTGGGGCCCACCCTGCCAGCCACAACTGGTCAGTCTTTGGGGGGACCAGGGCAATTAGATCTGAAATGCCATCTAGGTTCCCCTGAGGGTCAGGGAAAGGAAACAGGCCAAAAATGCCAGCTAAACATGGTTACTGCTCTGGTTTTTAATATTGTAGAGCAGCTTACGTGATTCTAATCAAACGGAATGGGCAGGTCTTTCTCTCTCTCTCTCTCTCTCTCTCACACACACACACACACACACACACAAACTTTACAGAGGACACTGAGGCTTGAACATTACATGACTTGGCCACACAGAGGCCTCCCTAGTCTGATGCTGGATTTCGTGAAGAACTCCTTCTGTAAGAGAAATGCTGTGAGCCACAGGTTCTGCAGCTAGAAGAGAAGGGTCATTTCCTCCAACTCCTTCATTTGATAGTAAAAAAAGGATAGATTTTCTCCAAACCCATCCCAGTAGCTGTGGATAGAACCTTTTAATGTTTATGAGACCAGAACCCCAAGGTAGAGAGGCTTGAGAGGAAGCCCCAGGGTGACACCTAATAGCCAGAAAACGCCAAAAAGTTGCCTACAGTCTGCTCTCAAGATGCTGAATGAGCAGAAAGATGAGTTGGGAGGTAGGAACACACGACCCTAGATACAGGGATTTCTGAACATACTCAATGAGGGTCACGAATGGAGTCCCAGCCCTATTAAATGGAATTTTAAAATATTTTCTTCTTTTTTTGGGTGCACTATAAAATCTCTGGGATCCCTTCCAGGTCTTGTGCCATTCTTTTTATGGAATATTAGAAGTAAAAACATGAATCAACTGGCTGCTAAGCTCTGATTGGTATCTAGCTAAACAAATAGTGCCCAAGAGTTTAATTCCTAGCCTTAAGGTTTCTATTATCCAAAGGGAGTAAAAGTTAACAAGCACGTTTACAGAGAATATAATGCTTAAGAGAAACTTCGTATTCCTGTTGGACAGTAAGGAGACTGGAAGATCCTGTCCAGCCCAAAATCACCTGTGAAGCTTTCATTTCTAAAATCTTTAGGGTGATAAAATACTTGAAATCACCACCAGATTACTCTGTTTGGAAAAGAGCTGAGGGATTATCCAAATTTAAGGAAATCTTTCAAAATCCATTTAGAAAATGAGAACATGGCAGTCCAAAATCTCCAAAAGGAGCCAAGGGCTAGACTCAATTTACAGGTTCAAGATGAACAAGTGAAGAAGCATCTGCCCAAGAAAAAGTCTGCAGACTCTGGGACCCTGGGGGAGGGGGTGCAGATACTTACTTCCTAGGCAAACCCCGCCTGACACCTTCGCTCCTCTGATGGATTGTTGGGGAGCCTGTGCTAAGGAACACCCCAAACTCTAACTCTACTGTAAGGGAGAACCGGACACAGCCCCTGGACGGTGCTTAAAGTGTCCTGGGCTTCTCCCACTGGCATAAGAGACAGAAAGAGAAGCAGAGTGTGACCTACCCTGTCGATAGAGAGGCCTTTCTTCTGAGCGTAAGCCCCCCAGAGCATGAAGACGAGGCCATTCAGATTCTTATTCAGCCAAGACACCACGGCGTCAGTGAACTGCTCCCAGCCTCTCTCCTTATGGGAGTTGGCCTGGTGGGCCTGGACAGTGAGCACGGCATTGAGGAGGAGAACACCTGTGTATAAGCCCCAGAGAAACCCATCAGCAGCAGCCCCAAGCTGCCTTCCACCTCGAAGCCCACAAGGACAGTCTTTGTTTCAGGCATGGAATCCCCAGCACCAGAACCCAGGCAGTGAAAAGAGAAGGGGAAGAAGTGGGGCAGGAGGAAGAGAGGGGCCCTTAAGCCAACTGCTCACCCTGTCTGGCCCACCCAGACAAATCTCCGTGCCCCGGGTGGACAAAGCCTTCGATGTCTGTGGACAGCTCTTTATAAATATTTTCCAAGCTGAAAACAAGATAAACAAAACGTGTTAACATCTGTAAAGTCTCAAACACCTCCAATAAATGACATCTAAAAAGATAAGACATGGGGAGGCAACCATGGACACACCCCTCACCACCTGGATGATGGGGGTTGGGGCTGGTCCCTTCTTCTGGGACTCGAGCGTCCTCACTGGCTCAACGGGAGGCTTGACCAGAGCCTCAGAGGCCCCTTCTAGCTCCCAGTCTATAACCCCTCCAGAGACCGGATGAGGACACATTTAAATGTTGGCCGTGTATTTCAACATTCAGCCATGACCGAGGAAGGAGAACAATGCTGTGTTACTTTGTGCTCCTCCTCGATCAGGTTGCAACATGACAGACAAATAAAACCCCACGGAGTGTGTTGTTGGAAGAAATGGCACCAAAGTCGGGAAATAAGATGAGCTGCCATGGGACGGATTTTTCATAACCAACACTCATGGCACACAGTAACAGAGGAAAGGACTCTGGCCTTTGGAGGACAAGGACAGGGTTCAGATCCTGCCTCAGGCTTGGGGCGTGACTGGATGTAAACCCTCAGTTTCTCTGTCTGTAAAATACAGGAGGGTTGGAGAAGAGGCCCGTGGGAGCTCCTTTCTAACTCCATCTAGCTCTTAGCAACTTTTTCCAAGACTGACTCTGCCCACTTGTTAGTAACAATCCAGCCACCAGTCCTCATTATCCCAGAAGGGACCTCAGAGGGCATCTGAAACTCCACCAACAGCTCTGGCCACCGGGTGGCTCTAACGAGTGAAATGTAATTGGGAAATGTTTAACAGAATGAAAAACTACAATACAATATTGATTTGTGGTTTTCTAAGTCAGTATGTGCCCTGCTGGGATGAGCTCCTATGTGAGTCGTCCTTGGTAAAGGCCCCCGAGGACACTGCCACAAGAGGAAATCCGTCCACTGAGAACCCTGATGAGCAGGCTTTCCTTTACATTCAGCCTAAGTCTGTGGCTTCACAACTTCTACAAGATGGCCATCTCTCCTTCCATCAGTCCCCACCAAGAAGAATCTCTGGGTCTTCTCCAATAACTATCCCCAGCTATCACAGAATGTTGGTGTAGCACAGCCCCTTCAGTCATGGTTGTCCTACTCTGGAAGGACCCTTCCCTAAAATGGGCCCCTCAGAGACAAACACCTTTCCAGACATGGCTGCAGAAGCCTTGGCCATCCGAGCCAGTGACTGGGACTGTTGCCTCCTCCTATGGAAGCGTTATATACTTCCCCCTTCTATACTGGTGCCCACTTGTACACCGGCATTAGATATCATCTTACAGAACCTTACAAACACATCATCTCTCGACGGCTAGCAGAAACACAGCTAGGCACCAACACACGCCTGTCCAGGACTCCTTTTCTGTTTCCACTTGATTCTACAACGAGGTCTCATGACAGTAGGGCTAGTAACTTATAAAATATAGGTCTGAAACCAGTCATAATGAATCCTACCTGGGCGGGGGTGGGACAGGCTTCTGGACGCTGAAGCAGAGTCCGTGAGCTTGATTGGGTCCATGATATGGGTCCTGCCCCAAGATGACAACTTTGACCTGTGCATGCCCAAGTTTGCCAGAAATTAATAAATGACAGGTGTGATTTGTTTTTTTTAGAAATAATGCATAGACAATGACTAATACTGTTAAACTGAACCCTTCTCAGCATTAAGAGGATCTAAGACATCTGCAGAGGCCTCGGGAAGGAAAATGCTGCCCACATCCAAAGAAAGAACTATGGAAGTTGAATCACTCTCACTTATTTTTACCTTCTGCTGAGTTTTGTTTCATCTTTCTGATGGTTCCTCCTATTGGTTTTAATTTTTACTTACAACTTCACTCATGTGAAAATATGTTTAATGGGAATGTAAATGTATAGCCTATATCAGATTGTGCGCTGTCTTGGGGAAGGTGGGGGGGAGGAAGGGGGAGAAAAAATTTCAACTCAAAAGCATATGGAAGTGATTGTTGATAAATCAAAATAAATTAATAAAATTTAAAAAAAAAAAGAAATAATGTACAGACAAAGTGACTTTCAAGGTATCATCCAACTTGAATTATAGATATCTGCAAAACTCCTTGGTGTAACTTCTTCAACCCCCCAAACAATCCCCTTTGTTTCTCCAATTCAAAGTACCCTGGAAATGACTGACCCCAAATTGCCTTCCTGTAAATGCGCTTCCCCCTCCTTTGGAAGCCCAGCATACATACCATTGGAACAAACCAGGAATTTCAACATATATACACACAGGGAAGCATGCATATACACATCTAACGTATAAAGTAGCACAATCTACTGACTGGGGAACACAGAAAATGATCTCAAAATAAAAGGAACCCAGTGCCCACACAACATGCCTTTTATGATACAAATGGGCAACAGGTTCCCAAGGGAAAGGTCATGGCGGGCAGAACACAAGTTAGCCAAATCCAAAGATTTTTTAATGAATTTCAGTCACTGCATGCCTTTTGATTTGGGGGATGTGAACCATTTGTGCCCCTCACAAAGGGCAAGGAAAAGGGCCTCTTGGTGAGGGAGGCCCTTCCTTTAAGATAGATAATGGCAGTTTTCCACCTCCACAAAAACATAAGTTCACAAAGAAGCACCACCTTTTCAGGTTTTGATAGACGACACCTTGCTGAGCAACTCAAATAAAAAGGAGTGAAATGAACCACAAAAGGAAAAACTACATAGGTGTTGTATAACTTCACCAAAAACCTAGTTTCTCCTAATGAAGAACACCAAGCCTAAGTCATCTCCAAAGATCATTTCAACAACCACCTTGTTCCTTCTAACTAAAGTCCCTGTGGTCCTAGTAAAAGTCACAGTCTAACCAGTACTGAGGAGCAAGAGTTACTTTTTGCTCCTATAGATTAGAGATTTTAAGCAATTTATTTCCAATACCCCACAAACACAAATATTTGGGGAGCTCCAGCTGCACTCAGATGCCTGACCAGAAAACCCAACCAAACCTCACCAAAACCTCCAGGACTATAAAGAGTTATGACTAGGCAGAATGCTATATAAGCCAATCCTTATGCAATCAGCTTTATGGTGAGGCGGTAAGGCACAGGTGAGACCTGCTGCAAGTTTTCTATAAAATAGGCCATTGGTTACAAACACCTGGAACAAGCCCATCAAAGTATAACACCTACCACGACGCCAGAAGGTTTAGTGAAAAACTCAATAAAACTGGGATTCAGGAAGCCCAGCATCCTAGCAGGACGACCCAGAGCTGGAAGGGAATCCCCAGGGTTTTTTTTTTGGGGGGGTGTAGGGAGAAGGGACTAGGAGCTGGAGGGGAGTGATCAGAAGTCTCACCTCAGGGCAGCTAGATGTCGAAGTGGATAAAGTTTACCAGTCCTGAGTCAGCTTTGGAGTCAGGGGGACCTGAGTTCAAATCTGGCCTCAGACACTTGACACTTACTAGCTGTGTGACCCTGGGAAAGTCACTTAACCCCCACTGCCTCACCAAAAACAAAACAAAACCAACAAAACCAAAAAGTCTCACCTCCCAGAGGAGGAACCTAAGCTGAATTTTGAATCAAACTAGATTCTATGAGCCAGAGATGAGGAGGGAATTCAAAGCCTGCTCTCTATCCACGCCCCCTGCCCCCTTTAATCTCATTCATTGATCAACCTTCTACTTACATCTCTGATTTCACACAGCTGTGTCCAGGTGAAAACTTGGTCTGGAGGTGGGTAGACAGTATGGCGTTTTCGTTCTTCTGCAACAAATCCCATTAGCTGATTTTGATTTGTTTAAAAATAGAGAGAGAAAAAAAGAAAAAGAAAAATCAAGTTTGGTTAAGAACATTCTCACCGACTATGAATGACTGAAGTAATCCTCCAACTTCAAAGATGATTATCTTTTAAAGCAGTTTTGCGAGCACAACTTTTAAAAAATCCACTATAACCTGGATTATTTGCAAATCCTCATAATTTAGCAAAAACTTGATTTATTCAAACCGAAGGGTCCCATTTCAAAGCAGTGGGTCACAATTTATCAACCAGATGAAATGGTTGTTAATTGGGCATTCTGACAGGTGACCCGGACAATCCCTTTTCCTAGGAGCCGCTGCTGCTTCTGGTCTTTCCAACAGGTCTAACTTTAATCCTTTGTCTCTTAAGGAATTAACAGCTTTCAAACAAAACTATGAAAAAGTTTCGAGGCAAAATTATAAAAGTATGGTAAAAATGCAATGGCATCTCCCTACAAGGTACAGCTTAATGAGCATTTGATGAGCTCCCACTAGGCGCAAGGCACTCAGCTAAGCGCTGGGGACACAGAAAGAGGCCAAAGCCAGTGCCTGCCCTCCAGGGGCTCACAATCTTAACGGGGTGAAAGGGTTGAGGGAGGGCTGAAGTCCACAACAAGACGCCAGCCCCAGTCTTCGCAGGCAGGGCCCCCACGTTCATTACCTGGATGAAATAAGGTTTGCTGAATTCTGCGCTAAGCTGCTGCTTCCAGCTCTCCCCGAAGCCCGCGGGGACGTTGCGGGAGGCGAGCCTGAGCAGGGCCGCTGCCTTGTTCTTCTGGATCCGGTCCAACTGCTCGGGGCTCAGGGGAGATGAGGGGGCGCCGGGCCCGTCTTCGGGCCGGCTCTTCTTGGCCGGGCTGACCTGCGGGACGTCCCCAAAAAGGCGGGTAATGAGGCGGGGAAAGAGCCCCAAAAGCGATGGGGGCAGCCAGAGGCCTAACCTGCCTGACCCCACGATGGGTGGGAGAAGGAGTCCCATTGCCCCGCCCCAACCCCGACCAGCATGCAAAAGAGAGGCCAGCCTAGGGTAGGGCCGGCTGAGGCCCCCACCCCGGAGACTCGAGCACCGAAGCATGGGAGTGTGGATGGAGGACAAGCTTTCCCAGGGATCTGGAATGGATTCCCCGTGAGGCAGCGGCCGAAGCGCGCATGCGCCCGCCTGGCCACACGCACGCAGGGGGACCAAGATGTACACACCTCCCCCCCACGTGGCCGTTTCGCGGCAAAAACAGGACGCTGAGCGCGCGAGCCCCGCCCCTTCCCCTCCGGATTGGAGGCCGAGCCTGGCCAGGCGGCGGCAGGCGGAGCTCCGATTGGCCCGCCGCTGCCCAGCCTCCCTCCCATAGGCTGCCCACGGAGCCGCGCGCCAAAATTAAGGTCCCCGGACCGCTCGTTTATGTCTCTGGGTCCCGCGCGCCCGCTCGCTCCCTCCGGGTCCCTCCTGTAGTGAGAATCCCCTCTCCCCACCCTCGGTCCACGCGCCCTCGCGCGACCCCCTCCCGTACCCCTCCTTCCTCACCGAGGCATCCTCGCTGTCCACCACCGCCTCCGTCCCGGGGTCCGCTGGTGTCTCGGTGCACGAGCGCCGCTTCTTGGGGGCGCTCGGGGAGAAGAAGGAGTGGAGGGTCTTCTGGCCGATCATGCCGGCGGACGAGGCGGCAGCAACAACAGTAGCAGCGAGCGCAACCCGGGCACTCCACCCCCCCGACCCCCCGACTGACTAGATCTTCTTGGCGCCAAGCGTCTCACGCATGCGCCGGGTTGCTTTTGTAGGGTGGGCTGAGAGGCGCATGCGTAGGACGCTTTACCTTTTTTTTGGTTGGGGGAGGGAGGAGGTAGCCGGTGGTCTCTGGCGCGTGCGCACTAGGGATTGCTGGTGAGCCCCACGTGACTGGCGCTGGCGGGGGAAGGATCCTCCAAGAACAGGTGGGCCTGAGTGGGGGGGAGGGGTTGGAGTCCCTAGGTAAGGGAAGAGTCACGCCTCAGACGGCCAACCAGCCGGGTGACCTCAGGGCCTCAGTTTCTCCCGCTGTAAAATGAGGGATGAGCCCTGAGGACCCCAGCTGCAGACCCAGAAGGGACCCCTGGGATTATCTAATCAGCCCCTTGATTTTTTACAGATAGGGAAACCGAGGAAGTTTAGTGACTTGCCAAAGTCAAACAGGTAGCAGGCTGGTTTTGAACCCAGGTTCAGTTCAGTGGATCAACAAGTATTCATTAAGCACCTACTAAATGCCGGGCACTGTGCTAAGCACTGGGGATGCAAAAAGAGACCACAGCCCCTGCCCTCAGGGAGCTTACAGTCTACTGGGGAGACAGCATGCCAACAAATGTATAGAAAGCATGCTGTATACTGGATGAAAAAGAATTAACTGAGGGAAGGCATTAGAATTAAGAAGGTTGAGGAATCAGTCAGCATTCATTAAGCACCTACTAAGTGCCAGGCACTGTGCTAAGCGCCGAGGATACCAAAAAAAGCCGTCCAAGATAGTCCCTGCCCTCAAGGAGCTTACACTCTAGCGGTTCTCTCTGACCCAGTGCGATTTCCCAGGGATGAGCTCTAATGTTACTTGTAGCTCTAAAGCTCCTATTTTAAGGTCTGACATTAGGGGCCCCCTGACGTCGGGATTCTAAGGTTCCGTCTTGCTGGGACGGTCATTGTTCTAACATCTCAGCTCGGGAGTTCTCCGTTGTAAGGTTCCTGTTTGCTCCTAGCTCCCATAGGAGGGGCAGTAGGGTAAAGGTGCCAAGGTAGAGCTGAACTTCCTTGTGAGAGACATCTTTCTTCCCATCTCCCTCACTGAACCAAGAGGAGACAGATTGAGAATCACTTCCTTCTTCTCCTATTGTCCGGAGGGCTGCAGGGTTAATGAATTATCCTCCCCAAGGCCAGAGAATGCTTTTGTCTCTTGAGGGAGGGCCTGGCTTTGTTCTATTTGTCAGTAGTCCGACCTGCAGCCTAATTAAATGCTGGAAGATTCTTCAATAGGTTAGCCTGGGGGAGATGGGATTTTTGGGAACCCTCCCTGGGAATCTCTGGGGCTCTTCCCACGGATCTGGAGCCTTAAGTGAATTGGAAGTGAATTCTTTTCCATTTCCCCAGAGGGCTTTCATCCTCTCGAGACTAGCTTTGAGAGTTGGCTACTTTGTCCCTGCCCCTGCCGGAGAGGTGAATTTCCCACAAGCCTGGCCTGCAGAGAACCACGTTATTAATCTTCAGTTTTACCAAAAAAGGCTTAAAATGTATTTCCACACTTGGCTTTATGCTCGGTCCTCCAGAAGTCTTGGCTGGCCAACTGTAGCAATCAGAATTCTGAAGGCTCTCAGGCCTGGCTTTCTTTACCCTGTGGAAATTTGTTCCTACTAGTCTTCCCAGGTTTTTCTGCATCCCCTCTCAACTTTCCCACAGCACCATTTATTCTAGTGGATGGGGACCCCCCCCCTTCTTTCCAGGTCTTTGCTGCTGTTAGGGATGGGGTTGGGATCTGGGTCCCAGAAAGTAAAAATCCTAGACTTTCTCACAGGGCCAAATCTCTGGGGTTAGCCTGAGACTATAATCCCATCAACTGGCCTTTCTTTGTAGCTAAACCCAATCTCCCCTCCAATGTCTTAACTCCCTATGGCCCCTGGCCGTTTTCCATGCTTAATCCTAGCTAGGCTCCATTGTCCAGGTCCCAGGAATTCTGTTCCACTCCCATCCTGATCTCCATTCACCCCAAACTACTTGGCAACTCCTAGATCCCTCCCACAGTTTTTCTGTATATAAGGTCCATCTTATCTCCATTAAGAGGCTGGGGTTCTTATAATTTAGCCAATGCTCAGATTTTCACAATCTAGCCGATAGCCCATAGATGCTCAGATTCCTTAAGAGTCTGGCTAATATGTCGAATCTTCAATAAATCTTATCTTTGGCTGAAAGAAGGCTTGAGTTGAACTCTTTCTGGCAGGACTGGCGTGTTGTGATTTTGGGGTCCTCGCACCCCTGAACCCCTAAACCGCATCATTAATATTTTGGGACCTGGGGGCTTTCCACTCTCCTTGACCTCCTCGGGGTGGGTGCCCGGAGGCGGTGTCAGGGTCAGAGAATAGGTGCAGTTTAGAGATTTAGCGAGGGGAGGGAGGAATGATCTGTTGCTGTGGATGGGGGTCCTCACAGTGATAAAGCCACTGGGTCTTGAAGTATGGCAAGAAGTCGATTTCAGAAGGGGCCTACATCTCAGCCAGTTGAAGCCCTCCCCAAGACTACCTAACCTTGGAATGACAATGGTAGCTTGGTTAGATGGGAGAAAGGGGAGAAGCAGAAAAGGGGACAGGAAGGGACCTGGAAGGGGGAAAGTGCTAGGATTGTAGGAGGAGAGGATGAGGACTTGGTAGGAAGGCCTAGTTGGATCAGAAAAGAAGCAGCTGGAGGGGAAATGATGGGAAGGGCCTGGGACTTGTGTGTGTGTGTGTGTGTGTGTGTGTGTGTGTGTGTGTGTGTGTGTGTGTGTGTGTGTGTGTGTGTGTGTTGGAGGGGGGATCTCTATCTTTATCTGGAAAGTCAATTTAAAGAATTGTCTAGGGCATTGAGAGCTGAGTGACTTGTCCAAGGTCACACTATCTGGTCTTACTGACTCTAGGGCTGGATCCAGACCATCCCTTCCCCAAGGAGTTTATAATCGAAAATTCCCTGAGGTTCACTAGATGCCTTAGGGGAAAATGGTTTCTTTAAAATAAGTGTATCACTGCCGAGGTTTTTTAATTAGAAGGAATACAAGACAAAGGCAATTTTAATTTGGAGAAGAGAAAACACCTAGGGGGAGGTTCTGCAGAACAGCCTTTTGCCCAAGGAGTTCTTTAGGAATGGGGTTTGGACCTTTTAAACTCAGCACTTCAACCCTAGACTCATTCTCTTTCCCCTCAAACTCTTCTTTTCCTAACCTCCTCTTGCTGTGGAGGACCTTGCCACCCTCTCAGCGGCCCAAGCTCCCAGCCTAGGCATCATCCTCAGTGCAGGTCTGATCCTTGATACTGTGGTGGTTCATTCTTTTTCATTTGTGTCCGAATCTTTGTGACCCCATTTGGGGTTTCCTTGGCAAAGGTATTGGTGATGAGGATGGGATCTAGACCCCAAAAAGGAAAAACCCTGGACTTTCCTACAGGCCAAGTCTCTGGCGTTCCCCTGAGGCATAATCCCATTAATTGGCCTTTCTTTGTGGCTACACCCAATTCTCTGTTACCCTTAAGGTAGCCTAGCCCTCCATTGTCTTACCTCCCTAAGGCCCCCTGGCCACTTCCCTGCCATTAACCTCCATTCTCCCAGGGCCAGGTCCCAGGTGTTCAGTTCCCTCTGCTATCCAGATCTTCCTGAGACCCCTGCTCCAGTCACCCCAAACTACTTGGCCATCCTAGTCCCTCTTGTCTCCATTAAGGTGCTCAGGCTCTTACAATCTAGCCAATAGCACTTAATGTTCAGATTCCTTAAGAGTCTGGCCAGTATGGTGGATCTTCAATAAACCTTGTCTTTGGCTGAAAGGCTTGGTTTGAATTCTTTTCGGCAGGACCTGTGTGTCGTGGTTTTGGGGTTCCAGCACCCCTAAACCTCGAGACCTCATCAGTCTGATTCTTTGTGACCCCATTTGGGGTGTTCTTGGGAAAGAGAAGAGGGTGGTTTGCCATTTCCTTCTCCAGCTCATTTTACAGGTGAGGAAACCAAGGCGAACAAGGTGAAATGACTCACCTAGGGTCACCCAGCTGCGAAGTGTCAGAAATCAAATTTGCACTCAGATCTTTCTGACTCCAGGTCGGCTGTCCATCCACTTGACACCTAGCTGCCAGTCCAACCATATCACTTTTCTGTTCAGTAAACTGGACTGCTTCCCTTTTATCCCCAGGATCAAATAGAAAATCCTTTGTTTGGCTTTTAAAGTCCTTCACAACCTGGTTCACCCCCCTTTCCAGGCTTCTTTCTCTGCAGTCCAGTGACACCAGCCTGACTGCCCTTTCCCATACAGGGAGCTTCGGCTCTCACTGGCCCCTGTGCCTGGAATTCTCTTCCACCTTCTCCGGGAAGCCTTTTCCAGTCCTCCGTCTTTGTGCCTGCCCTCTGTGGACCATCTCCTCTTTATCCTATCTCTATGGTGTTCGTACTGGTTCTTTGCCCGTCAGTCATCTGAGCTCCTGGAGAGCAGGGCCTGTCCTTGGACTGTCTTTGCAGGCCCAGGGCTCAGGCCAGTGCCTGGCACTGATGTTGACTCTCGGCCTTATCAGGATTCCCGGTGTTGCCTTGATGACTGATTTGAAGGCCTTGAGATACCTTCAGTGTCTGGGCCTCCCCTCCTTGTGTGCCCCGTGGTCAGCAGGTGCCTCCTCTGATATTCAGTGACACCCTCCTCCCACTCTGACCCTCTGCCTTTGTCTCTGGCTCACATACGGGTGACATGTCCACATACATGGCCTTGATGGTATCTTGCCTGTCATTCCTCATGTGGCATTAGCAGTCATTGGTTGTCCACTATGGCCTTGGAGTCACCTGCACTTGGGACCATGGTGTTCCGGGATTCATAGCCATAGAATTGTTTGTCCTTTGTTCTCAAAGAGGACCATGACTTGCAAGTGAATTGGACTTAAGTGAGGGAGGGCTATCCCAGGTCACCAGCCTCACTTTTTTCTGCAGAGCCATCTGGGTCCAGTGGCAATGTATAGATCAGGAGTACTGGGGATGGCCTCGGCCATAGACGGTCACTGGGGAACACCATTGGTCTTTCCCCCATTCCAGGGCTGTCTTTGACAAAGGTCATGCAGGAAAGTCAGTGGTAGAGACTGGAGGCCGGGAGACCCACTAGGAGTCTATAGCAGTGGTACCAAGTAGGAGATGGTAAGGATCCCAGCCAGGGTGATGCCTTGCCCCACATAGACCAGTACCGTGGAAAGCAGAAGGCTTTCACCTTGCCATTTTTATGCATGTGTGAGGAAAGCACAAGGCCTCCAGTGAACATCCCAGGGGACCCAAGGCAGCCCATGTGTCTCAGACACAGGCAAAGGATCCCCAGGAGGGAGTGGATGAAAACAGGCCTCAGGCCTTGGGGCCTTTAGGCTGGAGATGGAAGAATAGGGGTTGGGGATGGTGCTTTCCAGAGGCTCAGGGTTTAACTGGGAGTCCCTGAAACTGTTCCCTTTTCCTCCCCTGGTGAGACATGAGGGCCTACAGAGCAGCTCACAGTGAAGGGTTTCAAGTAGCGGAGTGGTTCGCACTTTTTTTTTTTATGAGGCAGTGGACAAAATGAGACAGCATTTATGAATGCTAGTTTATTATGATTTTAATCCTCCTCCTCCTCCTCCTCCCTGGTTGTCCCCTTTCCCTCACTCCCAAGCCTGGCCTTCCCAGGCCCTCCCTTCCTCTGTTTTGGGGTAGCCTTCAGTCTGGTCTTCCTGAGTCAAGTCTCTCCCTTCTGGAATCCATCTTTTTGAGCCCCTGTCCAAGTCACTCCCCCCCCCAAGAAAACTCAGGACCTCCCTATTCCAGAAGAAAGTAGAAGCCCCCTCTTCACAGTTCTGGCTCTACCCTCTATGTCTATAGCAAGGTTTTTTAACCTGAGATCCATGAACTTGTATTTTAAAAAAATATTTTGATGATTGCATTTCACTTTAATTTCCTATGTATGATTATTTTATGCAATAAAAAGCATGCCTGTGAGAGGGTCAGTGACTTCACCAGACTCACAAAAATGGAGCCTGGAGGGATGTCCCATTACTTCGCCTCCCCTTGACCTTCTCTGCATTCTAACCAGACTTGCTGTTCTTGTCCTGGACAGTACCATGCCTTTACCCAGGCTGTGCCCCCTGCCTAGAAGGCACTCCCTTCTCACCTCTGCCTCTTACAATGGGAAGCTTTCTTCAAGAATTCAGCTCAAGGGCCACACCCTCTAGGCATGCCTCACCTTGGCCCTCCCCTACCCTGCCACTGACCAAATTCCCTCATATTTATTTCATATTTGCTGGTCTGTGAATGGGTTGTTTTCCTCCAATAGAGTGGAAGCCCCTCATGGGCTGTTCCACGTTCACCTTGGTGTCCTAGTTCATGGCACCTGCTTCCTGAATGGGGACTGAAGGCTTGCCACGTGAGGGGCTTTGAAGTCCAGCTCCCTGGGGCCTCCCCCACCCACTTCATCTCCCCCCTCCGGGCCTTTCTCATCTCTTCCTCTTCTGGGTCCCTTTCCCCCTCAAGGCTGAGGAAGAGGCCTTCTCCCCTGAATCCAAGCCCCATCCCTTACTCTGTAATTATACATCTGTGTTACTACTGTGTCTCTTCCCAGCCTCCAAAAAGTAACCTTCTTGGACCCCAGAAGCCAGCAGAGCTGTTCACCTGGTCGACTGTTCAGGGCTTCCTGAACAGAGTTGTGTGGCCTTGGGGAAACTCACTTCATGTCTTCAGTCTTCAATTTCTTGGTCGCAAGTACCTGACAAACAGTAGTCATTTAATAAATGCTTATTGACCGACTGATTCTTTCAACTCCCAAATCCAGTGACCCCACTGGACTGGGAGTCAGGAGACCTGCCAGATCATCCTAGCCTGTTGCCATTCACCCACTGAGATTGCTGTTTACCTTGGACAAGTCATTTCCACTGGAGCAGATTAGACAGGGCCACCTCTACTACAGTCCTGTCTTAGGTAATTATTCTGGCTTGTTTTTTTCTCAGCTTCGTAGGAGCCACCCGGTGACCTCTCCATATTGGTACAACTTTGAGACTAGGTGGTATCATTGGAAAGGATGTAAGGGAGAGGGGAAGGGAAGGGGGTCTGGCTGTGAAATCCCAGCTCTGTTACTTGTTATCCACAGACAAGTCACTTACCTTGTCTTGGTCTCGGTTTTTTCAGCTGTACAATAAGAGAGTTGGACTGGTGGTCTCTAAGCCCCCTTCCACCTCCAAATCTATGATCCCATAATTCTATGGGGGCAGCCAGGTGGTTAGAACAATGAGCTTGAATCAGGAAGGCAAATCTCCCTGAGTTCAAATCCAGCCTCAGACACTTACCAGCTGTACGCCCTGGGCGAGTCACTTCACCTTGCTTGCCTCAGTTTCCTCACCTGTCAAATGGGCTGGAGAAGGAAATGGCAGACCAGTCCAGGATCTCTGCCAAGAAATCCCCACATGGGGTCACAGAGAGTCGGACACAACTCATTGAACGGACAACAACAGTTGTATTATCTGAGTTTGAATCCTGACTTTGCCGTTACTATCTATGAGACCGTGGGCAAGTCACCTCAGCTGTAATACGGGCATTGGATGAGGTGGCCTTTAGGGCCCCTTCCAGATCAGGCTGTCATCCTAAACCAACCGTCTAGCTTGCTGCACAGACTTGGCTACTTACTACCCATTTTCCTTCCAGCTTTGAGATCGATTCCAGGACTTTTCTCCCCAGTAACTTAGCTCAGGGGGCCTCGAGGCCACATGTGGCCCTCTAGGTCCTCAAGTGCTGCCCTTCAGGCAAATAGCTGCACTTGAGGACCTAGAGGGCCACATGTGGCCTCGAGGCCGAAGGTTCCCCATCCCTGACTTAGATAATAGAGAACCACGGTGCACTTCCCCCAAGGACAGGCAAGGGGAGCCCGAGAGCTTTGCTATCGACCAGCACTGTTATGTAAACGGCCCAGATGGGCCGGGCAGGCCTCTGAGCTCAGGGACACCCGGAAGTAGTGGCTGCTTCCTGGAGGAGCGGACAGGATCGGCGGTATCTGAGGAGTGGGGACTAATTTGGGGTGCAGCTGTGTTTTAAAGATACCCTCAGGGCCCTAGACAGAGCGGAACTCTGACGTGTCGAGGATTTCCTATCTAAATACCAGGTTCTGTGGATGTCCTGATAAAGTATAATGCCTAGAGTTGAAACAGTAACTCTGCTTTGGATGTTTTGAGATCTTAAGTACCACCTCTGGAAGATTCTACCCTGAGGACCGTCTTTCAGAGAGGGAGAACGAGGGTGCGGTGCAAGAGGCTCTGAACTGGGAAAGCAGTAAGAATACCCGATAACACTAGCTACTATTTCTATAGTGCATGAAGGTTTGCAGGGCGCTTTTCAAATACAGTTTCATCTTATCCTCACCACGCTGTTATTACCCCCACTTGACCGATAAGGACACTGACGCAGAAGGGCAGCAGCCTGGGGTGGGGTCTTCCAGCAGGGTCTGGACGAGGGCCCTTTGTCCTGTGCGCTGTAGTGTGGGGGTTCTTTTGGGGGATGTGGATGGCCACCGGGGTCCCTTCCAACACTCCAGTACAGAATTTGTCCGGCCGTTCTCCCATCGATGCCCTCCCTCTCCCCAGGTTTCCAGGTCTTTGCCACCACCCCCAACTCTGGGATTCCGTAAGATCGTGGTTCTCAGGCTCTTTTTGAGGAGTCTCTTTTTCATCCGTCCTCATTCTCCTGTAGGAACGCACCTGAGGCATTTCTCCACCTTTTTTTAATCAGGCCTCCCAACTCCTGGCTCTCTTCCAGAGAGCACAGATGGACAGATTCCTGGTGAAGAAGGCTGCCAGCTGTCCTTTAGGACGAGCTAGAGAAGAGCAGGAACCAGGTCACACCTTCCAGGCAGAAGAGGAAGAAAGAAGGAAGAGACGCAGGAGGGAAACGGCGGAGAAAGACAGTGGCGTGGGTGGCTGCCGCTGGCGGAAGATTCAGGCTGAGAACTTGGACTGTGATTACACAGTCCTGTTTAGCAGGGAGGAGGCTGATGAGCTTCTCCAGACATTGGAAAGAGAAGTAGAGTATTTTGAAGGTAAGCGCTAAGTCCCATGGGCTAGCTGCTCTTTTTAAAAGACTTGCCAGAGCTGTTGGCCCTTGCTTAACACCAACAGAATGCCAGTTCCCACAATTTCTAGATGCCTTGGGGAGGTATCCCCACTTAATCACTTTTTAAAGTTTGCCCAATGCCATTTTTCCCCCTCCGAGTAGAGTAGGTTCATACAAATTATTCTGTTTTGGAAGTAAAATATTTTTTCATGACACTAGAACACAGGTTTATAAAAGCAATAATGCTGAGTCCTTATCCATCAATCATGTGGAACGTTGGAAAGACTTTACGGCCAGTCAGGAAACCTAGATTCTAGTCCTGGTCCTTCTTAGGTGATGTATGTATCTTCGGTTCTTTTGGCCCCGCTGCATCCTGGGCCATCTCCAGTTGTCCTGATCCACATGTAGCCACTGGACGCAGATGGCTGCAGAGAAGCCGGTGAAGCTGGTGACTGCACAGCCCTCCCCCACTGAAATCCAATTCACTTGCAAGGCATGGCATCACCTCCCTGATGTCATGGTCCTCTTGGAGAACAAAGGACAAACAGGAAGCTTGGTTCCTCGGTAGTGTTGTATTGACTGCTCAGATTGTTCTGGTTCTGCTCACTGCCCCCTGCATCAGTTCACACAAGTCTCCTCGTTTCTCTAGTGAACTGTCCTTTTTGCTATGTCACACACCACAGCAGTATCCCACTTCATTCAGCCACTCCCCACGAACGGACACCAGATCTGTGCTACGGCAAGAAGCGTTGCTTGTACCGATGGTTTGGTACGGGTAGGTCTTTGCCTCTTTCCTCCCAGCTCTGCCATCCTCTGTTCTGTTCTAGGATCCCTTACAGATTTGTCTGTGATTCCCAGAGTTCCCCTGTGGTCTTCCCTCTTAGAGTACATAAACCCAGGTTCTTTGATCATTCCTCAAGGGCTCATCTTTATTTCTGAATCATGGGATTTACCCTTTTTTGCCCTCAGGCTCCCTCCCTGCCCTCAGTTGCTGGGACCCTGTACAAATCACAGCTCCTTTCAGAGTAACTGGGGGTTTTCTTTGAACTCAGCTGTAAGAACAGACACACCACTTACCCCTTTGTTCACAGCCGTGGACGGCTTTGCCGGCTTCTCAAGGTTTCAATCTTGCTGTTTATTAAGTGGCCAGGGAATATGAGCTTCCCTTTGAAGCCCTGGCCCCTTTGTGGAGTGGCCAGTGGGCGGCTGCCCGGGTCTGAGGTCTGACGGCTGTCCTGCAGTTTCAAGGCCCTTCTCCCCCACTCTACTCAATGGAGTTTCAGGTTGGACAAATGGTATCTCATTTAATCCTCACCGTGACTTTGGGAGGCAGGTCCTATTGCTGTCCTCATTTGATAGCTGAGGAAACTGAGGTGGTTTAGTGGCTTGGCCAGGAAGCTAGGAGGCTTCAGAGGCTTATTTGAGCTCAGGTTCTCCTGACTCCAGGTCCAAAGCTTCCTCTTCTAAACTAGAACAGATGCTTCTTGAGGGAAGAGCCTAGCAGCACCATCCTAGACACATTGTAGATGCTTAATTACAGCAAGTGAAACTGAATTGGATTAGATTAAGAGAATCCATAGGACAGTTCTGTTCAACCTTGCATGTGGACCAAAACACTGCCCCTAACAACACACAGACACAGAAAAGCACAGATGGGAGAAGGGGTACTCGGGCAGTGCCTTGGGGCTACGAGAGTGGAGGTGAAGAGCGTAGAGCCCGGGCCGCAGAGGCAGGAGGGGGCATGTCAGGAGGCCAGTTGGGTGGGCGGTGGGCACATTTTTACATGCCTCCTGGAGGCACAATCTTATTTCCAATGGGCATTCTCAGCTTTCTTTTCCCTAAGTTACACGTCCGTTCTGAGGTGAGCCAGAGGAGGGTGCCGACATGCTCAGACCCAGGTACTGCTATATCCGTTGCTCACAGACACTCACCTGTGATGCCCACATCCATTCCAGGGTGAGCCACAGAAATGAATCATGAGCTTTATTTCAATAGGTGATCTTTCCAGAGTCCGAGTGTTTGGCAAATGGCATAGAATCCCAAGGAAGCAAGCCACTTACGGGGACACAGGGTTAACCTACACCTTCTCGGGACTCACCTTATCTCCAAAGCCCTGGATCCCCGTCCTGGAGCACATTCGAGACCGCGTGGCTGGTGTGACTGGACACACCTTTAATTTTGTACTTGTCAACAGGTAATACAGGGAAATGTCAGGCACCGTTGTTTTAAGAAATATGGCTAAAATGTGGTGAGGCAGTATCTGAGGATCAGCCATTGGCACACTTTACAACTGACTCCTTTTGAGGCCGGTGGACAGAATTGATGACCCCAGGACCCTTCCTAGTTTATGCAGCTTGGCCTGGAACACCTGAACACACTGCCTGGCACAGTGTTTGCATTTGCTAAACTGAATAGGAGATGGAACCATTTGTACGGTGGTGCCTTCCTTCCACAGATTATCTCCAACGATCCTGACTTTATCTTGATTATATTTTGCTTGGAATCAAAGGGCAGGAACTGTCTTTCACCTTGTTTGTGTCTCCAGCTCTTAGCCCAGCACCTGGCCCATAGTAGGTGCTTAATAAACATTTACCTGCCCGAGAATCAGCCAAGTGGAAGTTATGAGATACTACAAATAAATTACTCAGCTTCCCTGAGCGAAACTTTTAAATCTATGAGATAAGTTGGGCTAGCTAATTTCTGAGGCCCCGTCCAGCCCCAAACAACTGAGCCTTAGGAGACAGTAGAACTGGAGATATCAAAGTTCAAGATCTAGTAGCATTAGGCAGAATAAAGAAAAGTACGTGTTTTTCAGGCTTAGCTAATTTCCAGAACTGAAGAAAGACCTGAAATCTTCACAGGGAGACTCATAGAATCCTTGTATTTAGAGTGTGTAAGGGACTTTTAGAGATCACCTAGTCGATTAACCCTGGGGCCCAGAAGTCTTTGCCTAAGATCACCCAGGTGGTAAGAAGGAGCAGAGCCCCTGGAATCCAGGTCCTGACTCCGAAGTCACAGGGTACTTTTCTCTCACGGCTAATCTGCGGTCAGGAAAGGATCAGAGCCTGCGTTCTTGGAGTTTAGGATAACATTGAAACAACAGACTGTTTTCCCCTTGCAGATACAAAGATGGCTGTGATCACATCGGCGAGCACCGGGATGACGAGAGCGAGTTGGCTCCGCGGAGCCCCATCGCGTCCGTCTCCTTTGGAGCCTGCCGGGACTTCTTCTTTAGGCACAGAGATTGCCGAGGGAAAGCGCCATCCCGGCATGTTGCGGTAGTGAAGATTCAGCTGGCCCATGGGAGTTTGCTAATGATGAACTCCCCGACCAACGTCTACTGGTACCACAGTCTCCCCGTCAGAAAAAGGATCCTGGCTCCGCGGGTCAATCTGACGTTTCGGAACATTCTGCTCTCTGACAGATAAATGCTTTTCTTAACTCTCCTAAAGCCTCATTTTTGTGACAGAAAAAATCCATTTTCCTTATGGCTCTATGTCAAGGAGGGACTAATTAGCATTTCAGACAGTAAACAGCATGTGAAACAAAGCACAGTAATCACGCACGACACAAAATTTAAAGATGGAACAGCAGGTGTTGATTTATTAAAGGACTGTCTTACATACTTGTATTTGTCTTTGCAATGAAATGGTAAGCTGCAAAACCACTGCCATTTGACCTTTCCTAATAAAACCAATCTTTATTGCCATAATCCACACGGCAGGTATGAAAACAGATGCTCTTAGCAGACCCACAAAACCAGTGCTTTGTATTGTAAACTACTCATCGAACTTAAAATTTTTGTCATGAGGAACTAAATTAACAATTCACCCCAACCTCAGAATCCATCTTCAGGCTTTCATGTAATAATTGCTTATACATTAGAGAACTGTCAGCTTTTACAAAACACAGTTGATGGTTTTTCTCTCCGCAAATGTTTTTCAGTTATGCACCGAGTACTAAGCCTCCCTTCTGACCTGCAGAGAAATGCTCTGGGAAAACCTCCGTGTTCACATCTTTCTGAAGTGCGTTTCCAGAGGAATTTGCAGCATTCCTGCTAACTTAAGAATGCAGCCTAAATCTCTCTGGGCCCTTGCTTCCCTAGCCTGGGGCAAAGCAGATCCACTGATTTCATAATCAGAACCAACTTTGGTGAAGGAATAAGTTGAGCTTGCAGCTAGATCCCTCAGAAAACTGATCCCAGATCAGGCCTGTGAGCTGTTCTTTGCCAGCAGACCTCACACTCCTGGCCCAGGGGCAGCTTCAGAGCACACTCTGCTGAGCCATGCCCAGGATGAGCCCTCACTGTGAAATTCTTACACTAATGCACCCTCTTGGGCAGACAGATGGGCAGATGGGGACCAGCCATAGAACAACCAAGTTTTGGCCTTAACTTGGGAGGCCTTCAAGATGGATCTGCGCCCAAGTCTTATCTCTGGAGAGTTTGCAATATTAGTGCAGACATAATTCTTGCTTTATCTATTTCTTTAAAACCCTAACTAAAACACAGGCAAGCCCTAGGCAACTAACAAGTTTTTCAGCCTTAGAGTTGCCTGGACTTAAGAACTCTGAAAAGAGGCAATGAGAACATGATTAAATCTGGTACTTTCTTCCACTCTGTTTCTAATAAATACCTATTATAATAGTCTTATGAACAAAATGTGCATAGGAGTATGTGGGGAATGAATTCAGACTGTAGACATAGGTGTGTGCATGTATGTGTCCATATGTGTGGTGACACAGAGTGCTGGGAGATAAAGAAGCTGTTCTACACTGCTGCTGGAATAGCTTTTTGAAAAAGAGGTAAGCCCTGCTTTGTAGCAGGATGAGACCAGCTTGAATTCACCTCCCTCACGACCCAGCTTCTAAGGTCCATGCTAGGCCTGCCCCTATCTCCCAACCACGTGCCTGATGTCAGGTCAGGGCCTAGGATGAGCTGACCAGACCAGAGCAGAGACACTTAGGAGGTACAACGCACACCCAGCCTCGTGCGGTGTACACACACACACACACACACACACACACACAGTGCAAACAGCAAGGACGTCTTTTCATTACAAAGGGCAAAGGAGTTAGCCTTGATCAGGTCCTCTCCCAATGTAGGAAGACCTGACTTGTTAGAAAAAGGACATACAAAAGCAGGGGCTGCATTGATTCCTCCACTAAGAAAACAGAGGGAGTCAAGCATCCCAAAAGGTCTTCCTTGGCTCGCTGAGCTACACAGATTTTGGGTGTGACCCGTCACAAAAGCGACTGGTTGGACTGTAACTGTTTAAACAAGGGGAAGGCACTTCTTTTCTTTTAAGTCACTGCCTTTAATAAATATGGATATTCTCACTCACAGCTTCTACAGGCCTGCTAAATAGAGAAATCTGACCTGAATTTTTAAAAGAATTAGACAAAGTGAATCTCCTCTTAAAACTTGTGACTGACACATCCAAAGTGGCCTTGGGTGTCTGGAGCTCTCCATCCCCCATGGCCAGAGAGGCTGAAGATGTCACGTAGACATAACAGGTGACTTCTAACCCCCTGACACTCCAGGGGGCCGGCCTCGATGAGACCTGCTTCCAGTAGCTTGGTTTGGGCATGGATCAGGACGACGGCTCCTCCTAAGAGAGGCCGCCATCACCTCCACACCGGAATGTCGAAGAACTGTAGTCAGGCTGTTTTCATAATGTAGACAAGAAAAATCTGGGGTTGTGTTTTTTGTTTTTGTTTTTTTTTTCCTGAACAGTTCTAAGCACTCCACGAGGCTGGGCTCTGGGCAGTTTCACTCTTCAGGCTTGTACTCCTGGCTTTGGTGTTGCTGGGCTTTCGGAAGGACCCGCTCGTAAAAGAGCAGATAAGCACTTGAAGACAAAACCTCCTGCAAGCTTGCCTTTCGAACAGTGTCATCCGAGATCCAGAGCCACTGGCTGCTGGTGGACAGAGGGCTCCTGGCGGAAGGAGGGGAGCGTCGGTAAGTCACAAAGTGACCGGAATGCATGTCTCCATGGTGGACCACGACAGCCATCAGCCGGAAGAGGTACACCGAAGAGCTGAAGGCCAAGCAAATAAAACCACCATCAACATCATTAACTTTCAACAAACACATGCACGGAAATCACAAGGCTAGGGCATTCTGAGGGAGAAGGAACCTAGCACCATTTTCAGATGAAGAAATGGAATCCCAGAGTGGTCGATTTTCAGATGCCCCAGGACACAAAAGCAGGAGAGACAAGACGTGAATCTATCTCATCTGACACCAGTGAATATACTCTCCACTGTTTTGCGCCATGAAATCCATCTTAAATCTAAGGGGAAACTAAATTTGTCTGCATCCTCATGAATATATTTGAAAATACTAATTGGCTCTTGGGAATATTCAGGATCAATCAGTAACATTTATTATAAGCCAAATGCTATACCAGATGCTAGAGATACAAAGACAAAGACTGAACAAGGCTAGGAAAATCCCTAGCGGCTTAGGATGCTTAAAACAAATGAGTTGGCAGCCAATTACCTATAGTCAGGAACGCCTGGGAGAGAGAAAGTGCCTGGGGTTGACAGCAGCATTGGGGAAGAGCAGGCTCCGTTGACAAAAAGTGCCTTGGTCCTGCCAGGCTGAGCAGAGGCTGCAAGAGAAAGGGGTTCTTAGCAATTTGGAGCAGCAGTGTCTTAGGTGACAATCATCAAACTTGGCTAACCAGCCCTGAAAATTAACATTTCTCATCTAAACATTCCACCAAGAGGAAAGGACTGCTGTGTCTACTTTGTGTAAATGGAAGTACACTGGCAGGGGCTCGGGAGCTACAGTATGAGGAGTCAACACCTGCCCCATCAAGGTTATCCTGAGGACCCTGAGAGCAAGTTCATTCTGGGGACATGACCTTAACCTTCCAGCCTGCATACGGGTGGGCTAGGAAGAGAGAGATGGCGTCAGCACCACACCCAAGCTAGAGTAAACTCACAGTATGATCAGGCCTGGGGAGTCTACTGGGTCAGGACTCTGTGAATCACCCAATATACCAGATTATCCAATATGGTGACAGTAGGGAACAGTGTGCAGTATGTATCCCTTCTGAGGAGATGGGTGAGAAAACAGAAACCTTAATAGGAAAAGAAGGCCTGAAAGCAAGATGTCTGGGATATCTGAGTCAGATGAGGGCAGATCCTCTCTGAGAAGGGATACAGCCTCATCCCCTAAAGAAGAAAAGGAGAACTCATGTGGGTGTGAAGTTACGGCTAGATCCTCAGAGCTGGGGAGAGAAATATCCCACAAGGCATATCCTTGCAAAGAGAGTCTCCCAACTGGGATACCCAGTTCTAATTCCAGAGCAGGGAGTATTTCACCTGGGGTCCATGAATTTGTTTTGTTAAAAAAAAAAAACGTGATCACTGTATTTCCAGAGAATTGGGTTTCCCGTATAACCCTTATGCATTTTATTTTATGGGCCGAAAACATCATTCTGAGGAGTCTCTAGGCGTCGCCAAACTGCCAGAGAGATCCACGTCATCAAAAAAAAGCCCCTGCTGTAGAGCACCCTCCAACATAAAGCACAGTTAGAGAGTTGCTCTGGTAGCAGAGATTCAGAGACATTTATATGATGAGTGGAAAGATGTAACAGACAAGTAAAGTGTGAAGATGAGGGACCAAGAGGACAAAGGCTACCACAGCCTACTGCAAGACACGCGAGGCGCAGCCTTTCCCAGGCTCCGCCATGAACAGGTGGCCAGCTTTCCAAAGACCCTCCCCAGGCAGCTGAGGGAGGCGTCTTTCTGCAAAGGTATCGAAGCTCTACCCGAGACCTGACTGGCTTCTGGCTTCAGCTGGTGCTGAGTACAAAAAGCTGCAGGGAACCCCCCAGGCCGCTCGGAGGCTTCTGACTGACCACCAGGGGGCAGCGGGGCTCAGCTGAGCCTCTTTGCTAACCATCCCTCCTCTGCTAGGGCTCAGTAAACCACAAGTGTCTCACTTCATTCCCACATCAGACCCAGGAAGGAGGTTGGCTTGCATCAGGTCCAGCCCACCATATGAGAGTGTGACCAGTGTGGTCAGTACAAGAAAGGACATAGAAGTATCTTTTGTTACAACTGTGTCCTGGATGGAGATATGATTGAAGAATGCCTTCAAAGGGAGAAAGCCGAATTAGGGTGTGGAAAGCTGAGTTCCAACGAATCAGGATTGGGAAAGAAATCCAGGGCCTGGGGAAGAAGTTATCTGGGACCTGAAAACAACCAGAATGACCTCACCCACCCATTTAATTCACAACAGTTTGATACAAAAATACTAGTCCTGACATACAACGAGAAAAGCAGGAATATTTTGTCAACAAATTTGGAGCAGATGGCCATAAATACGTCAAGCGTGTTCAAGAGGAGAGTTTTCACTGGGCTCAGAGGAAGCTCGAGTCCATGAAGTCAATACTGAGAAACAAGGGATGACATGAGAACTGAGGTTTGCTTCTTTTTAAAAAATAAATAACTGAATCAAAATGACAGAGTTCTGCTGGGAAGCTCTGGTGTTCAGAGAATGTGGGAGAAAACAAAGAAGTAGGCAGAAAACCTGAATTCGATACGGCCGAGCCAAAGAAGAAACTGGAAAGTAAGGCACCTTTAAATAAATGAAACAGGACGCCATTGAGA